TATATATATATATGTACACGAAAAAAAGTGAACAGAAATGTTGAGGAGACATAGCAAACCCGAGGTTGTCTAGATCACAAGGGCAGGCAAATTGCTATCAGCTCGAGCTTCTCATTCAGACGACAGATAAAGATTCGTCCAATCTTGCCATGATAATGAAGTCAATCTGAGGTGGAAGCTAGTCCCCATGAATTTGTCACACCGGGATCACTTAGCCGCCTCACCCAATACCATTAAGAGAATACATGTGTTAGCCATCGTACTGGGATCTTCTCGTCTAAGAAAAGTCTACTCGTCGAATTACCGTGATTTAACCTCTGCTTGATGACATAGCTTCACCCTGTCGACAGAAGTTCTTTGGTAGAGATCGAGGGTCACCAACAAGACTATGTTTACAAACAAGTAAAATTTATTCTATCAAACAATTCCTATCAACTGACAACATTTACGAATCTATCCGACCAGTGACCCCATCAGAATAAGTTGACCGACAAGACTAGCCAAAGAAGCCCTACCAAATCCAGCCGACCTAGCTAGAGAGCAACAAGGTTCTGAACCCAGAAAGGTGGAAATACCTATCATCACCTTTACAACTCCCACTTAAGTATGGACATAAATGTAACTTCATATATTCTATCCCCTTTATCTATAATTAAGGGATCATTTCAGTAATAAATGTTACACATTTTTCTTCATTTCTCTCTTAATTATTTCACACACACAGACACTTTCTTTTTTTCTCTCACTTCTGTTCTACGTTATATTCCTTGAGAGTGAAATATTCTTAAGAAATTATAAATTCTATCAAATATGTCAATTTATTTGAAATACTTTTCAAAATTTGAAAAAATTCTCATATTTGCTATAAACAATGATGATTACACTTTTATAATTCAATATGACCGAAAAATGTTTTTTATTTTTAAATATATTGTTTACTATAAATACTAAATTCTGCTCTTAATTGAGGTGAATGCATTTTATTGGTTCAAGAAAGTATTTTTTTGTTAATTGTTACGATTTATGAATTCTTACATACAAAATGTTTGTGTCAAATATTTTATAAATATTGATACCATCCTATAAAATTTCAGAATAGACTATGCACGATTAATTAATAAGATTATAAAACTCTTTATCAATACCATATAAGTCTCTATATGTGGAAAAATTATTCTATCCGAATAACGCACGTAGAGCTACTTGTGAAAGCAAATCCAAATATGCCACCTGTTTTTTTTTTTCATTATTTTGTTCTATAGGATTCATAATAAACGACATAAGTAACGGCGTGACCAGACTCGGCTCGTTGTAGGATATTGTCACATCATTTTAACTTAGAGAAAGAATGCGCAAAAAAAATGAAATAAAAATAAAAAAAGCTATACAAAATCTAGGGTTTAGGTATAAAATATTTTTTCATTGCGGAACATCAGGAAAAAACTGTTGTCGTTGTCAAAACTTAGGAATAACCTTGAGGATGGAGAACAACAAAAGTGGTAACTTAAACAAACCTGAGATCATATCTGCTTCTCTTATGGTGATAAAACTGTAGACTTGAACTCAATGATAAGTTTGAAATGAATTTTTGTTTGCAATGTTAATCTGTGAGCTCTATTTTTTATTAATTGTAGCGGGTTGGTGCTTGCAATATTTAATATTCCATATCCGAATGAGACTATCTTGATTGTGTTATGTCGAATGAAGTTTTTAATTTTGACTTTTCCTAGTGCTTAGGATTAGCTAATTTTATCTTGTACAATCATGTTGTATTGGTTGTACTAATTTAAAATTTTTAAAAATATGAAAAAACAAAAAATAAAAAATTTTATTTAGAAATGATTAATTTTTATTTGCTTTTCCTTATGGCTAGAATTGCCTGATTTACCACAATTTGTACAATCATATTATATTGGTTATATTGATTTAGTTTATTACAATCGATACAACAAGGTTATATCGAAAGGAACAATCCAATTGTTGTAAGAATTCAGAACAAAAAATTAAAAAAAAATTATAAAAAAGATGAATTTATAATTTTTTCTTTTCCTTGACTGATTTATCATAACTTGTATAATTATATTGTATTGGTTGTACTGATTTATCATAGTAAAACCAATACAACACGATTATATTGAAGGGAATGATGCAATGATCTATATGTTGTAAGAAATCGTAACATAAAAATAAAAAAAATTGTATCTAAAAAGTATGGATTTCTTATTTTTAATATTTCTCATCTCTTGTTTTAACTAATTTATCACTACTTGTACAATCGATACAGCATCGTTGTACCGAATGATTTGATGCAATCAATTTTCTATCTATTGTAAAAAAAAAGGAAAATGAAAATAAATAAAATTGTGTATAAAAAGTATAAATATATAATTTTTTACTTTTCCTCATTTCTTTGATTAAGTGATTTATCACTACTTGTCCTATAAAATTTCGTAACATAAGAAAAATTGTATATATAAATGATAAATTTATAATATTTTATTTTTCCTCATGGCTAGGATTGATTGATTTATCACCACTTATACAATCATATTGTATTGGTTGTACTGATTTATCTCAATATGATTGATATAATATGGTTGTGCCGAAGGCAATGATCCAATGTTCTGTCTTGTAAAAAATTGTAACATAAAAAAAAATTGTATATAGAAAGTATGAATTTCCATTTTTTTGTTTTTCCTTGCTTCATGATTTGAATGATTCATTATTACTTGTACAACCATGTTGTATTGGTTGTACAAATTTATCACAGTATAATCGATACAACAAGGTTGCACTGAGGAGAAAGTTCCAATTATTATAAAATACCGTAAAATAAAAGTAAAAATAATTGTATGTAAAAAATATGAATTTTTAATTTTTGCTTTTCCTCATTTCTTAATTTACCTGATTGATCCACTACTTATACAATCATGATGTATTGGTTGTATTGTTTTTATCTCACTACAAACGATACAACACAATTATACTGAAAGGAACTATCCAATTATATGTAAAAGTCATCACATAAAAATAAAAAAATTGTATATTGTCGGCACTATTTTGGTTGTGGAGTTACCCGTTGGAAGCTGGTCGGCCGCCGGAATATATATATATTCCCATATCTTTCAGAGTTCAATTGAAAGACCACTACACTTTAAGCCCTGTATCTATCCCGAAAGATAAACACAATAATTGAGGGTGAGACTCGATCAAATAAATTAAAAATATATATGACATCTGTTCGGTCTGCAAAAATTATTTTATTTTTCTACAAGTTTCCCTATTTAATAGAAAAAAATTAAATAAGGTTTATATTAAGCTGGTTTTCAGAAAAAGCTTCCTATAAGTACAAACCCCTATAATTAATTACATCTTAGATGACCGAAGTTACCTAAGAAAACTTTCGATAAAAATCAAAGAATATTATCTTCAAAGAAGTAAAAAAGATAGGAATTTTCAACGAGATTAGACAAAGAGGTGTGAAAGGGGAATGACTCAAATTTGAAACATTTTATTGTAGAGTCAAAAGGAGGAAGAACTGGATGTCACAGATCTTGAGGAGAACCTCGGTGACTTCCCAAGCTATTCTAATATTTGGTTTCAGTTTTGGAGAGAAATATTTAAATGTTTCATCCTGTTAATTTTATTTATTTTAGGACTTACATTTATGTGAAATGATCACACAAATGGCCTGGAAGATGCGAGGATTTAGGCCGCGACAAACGACAAACTCAGAATTTTAAGGTGAGTTAAGGCTTTTATTGTACAACAGAGCCATACAAAAGACATAAAGATGAGTTGAGGATTTATGTTTCATAAGCAAACAAACTTGAAAATTCTATTCTAAGGAAATATATGCTGTTGTAGATCCTCTTGATGATGAAGATAGTCGTGCTGCCCACAATGCTAGCTCCAAGCTCATCGCCATCCAAGCTCATCGCCATGACGAGTTTAAGTTTTCTAATGTGTCAAGTTATATTGTCAAATCAAATGTTCCTATGATTATGGTTCTTTAAATATTGTGGGGCATATTAAAGTTGATTAGAGCGACACCGGTTAGGATCCTACAATTCCCTCATTCCGGTACCACTATTTTCTTTCGGATTCACTTAGTCCAAATGAATTTACTAAACTCAACTTAATGACTTCCATACTTTTATTTATACCATGGGAAATTTTGTTAGTAACCGTGGGTTACCTCCTCTGAGCGATTCCTGATCATCCAATAGAGATGTTTTAATTTAGTTGCAATTGTTGTTTTGTGATGTTTGTGATTAAATTTTGAGTTATTTTATATTTTTAATCTTGTGATGGTGAATTTTATCTTGGTTAATTTTAGTTTTGGTTTTGGATTTACGACTATCCTAACAGTTTTGATTTTCATGCAGGGTGACATCGTTGTTTAACATGCAAACTCGAGACAAGAAGCACAGAAAGGTAAATGCATTAATTTAAAAGTGTACTTGTCTATTCTTCTCGTTCCACCACTTGAAAGGTTAGTATTTGTAAGGCATGTATATAATTTTGCAAGGAATTTGAATTGCAGGAGTAGACGAATATTTAACTACCAAACCCCAAGTTATGATTTTATTGAATCTCAAAATATCCCAGTGGATGATTTTAGAACAAAATATGAAAAGTCTAATTTGCCCTTCAGAATGTCAAATACATTTCAAAAATGCTTGAGGCATGACCCTAGACCATTTTGAAGATCTTTTAAAATATTCTGAGTTCATTTTGAACTTATCA